ATTCAATTACAATGCACTTTACTATTTACAATCACTATCATCAACTTTCACAATTTACTCTACTTAAATGTAATCTCCAACGTGTTTACTTTACGACTTTACTGATGTTAACGCCACGAGTTCACTTTGTAACTAACTTGACTTGGCAGCTGAGTGTCGCCCTTATATAGCAGTCGGCTGCTCGCAGACGAAAGCGTAGAAGCATCGATTTGTTCGCTATCGAAGGTTCTCGTTTAGAATGCACTAGTTATCGGCTTCTCTCTTTCATCTGACATTCGCCTCGCATTTTCGCAACTGTTTTATAGAATAAAAGGAAAGGAGATACTGCATTTGTAATGATTTTTTCCCACACTCGAGTACTTGAAATACTGCTATTCCCTTGTAAGCACGTAGCGGCACTACTGGTTGTATGGCCGTGTACCCGTTGCCAATTCTTTCATCCCTATAAGAACCAAAAATAATAATAATAATAATACATAGTAGTTTTGACAATTCGTGACCTGTGGCCCGTAGCCCGTGTCGTTCGTTTTGGTTTGAACTTATGCTTTGGCAAAGATAGTTTTGCCCTTACAGCAGCATATGCGGACGTCATGCGTATGCATCCTTGAATATGCGCACCTTTAGTGTTGATATTATTGAAAACAATTGTTAGAAAGACAGTTTTCGTTTTAGAATTATTGAAAAGAAATGTCGGAGTTGTGTGAACCCCTTATGCTCTCTAAAGGTATATAATAAATTGTGCTAATTAAAATTTGTGTAAAACAGATTTTATTTTAGACATAAAGAGGGCTATAGAATTATTAGACAAATTGCAATCCAGTGGTGACTTTCCTACAACAAAGTTATCTGCTCTGCAAAAGGTGCTCCAGAGCGATTTTCTGAATGCTGTTAGAGAAGTTTATGAACATGTGTATGAAACCGTCGATATCCAAGGCTCCCAGGACGTAAGAGCTTCAGCAACTGCCAAAGCTACAGTCGCCGCATTTGCAGCAAGCGAGGGCCATGCCCACCCTAGGGTCGTAGAATTGCCGAAAACAGAAGAAGGTATATTTAACTGACTAACATCTATATATAGAGAAGGGTTTCTCGATACCTTGCTCTGGTCTTAATAACTACAATAAGGTAAGTTTAGGAAATGTTGGCTATTGTGCTTGCTTTTAATGGTTTTTATAGCTGTGTAATTTTAAACCAAGAAAAAGCGTAGAATGGTTTTGTTTTTGACATTTTCATATGAAAGATTTTTTATCTGTATTTAGAGACTAATTGCGTTTTTTTAAACCGTGAAAATAAAAAAAGAGTGAAAAATAGTTATAGCAGTTCTGGGTAATGTGGATTTTCCCAATTCGATTTTCTATTTAGTTATGTTTTCTTTTTTATATATAACAGACGGATCGGAGCAACGTTTTATAGAAAAAAATTTTCAAGGGTTCCAGGAACACCTCAAATTTAGTCATTTGATCTTTTCTTCCCTTCTAAGGACTTGTTGTATGGCGTTTCTCGGAGCGTCAAACAGAATTCATTATGTGCAACTAAAGAAATGTCTTGTTGATTTTAAATTATAAGAACTAATATAGCGATTTTCACTGAAATAGAGGAAGAATTTTTATGAAAAGAAATTCGGACTAGAGTTGTTGTATTAAAATTACCACATACTTAAAGTGTCAAATATATTTCTTATGAAAATATAAAAAACTGTCACTTTCCGGTTAACAATATATTATGGGTGTAAAACTACTTTTTTCTGCTCAATTTATTGCAACTTGAATTAAGGGTGTCTATTGATGTAATAAAGTTTTTTTCTTTCTACGTTAAGCAATTCCTTAAGATAAAAGAAATTCAGAAAGAAAAAAAAGAGAAAATTGAGCTCAGTCCAAGAATAAAAATGTTTGATCTTTACAAAGATAGAACTGCGATGGCTTTAACTTTGTAAAAAAAAAAAAACTAACAAATAAGCTGTTCTTTTCCAAGTTGGCTTGTATATCAAGTAGTTCGAAGGGCCTTAAACATATATACATTATATAAAATCATCCTTTGATTGTGTATACCAAACAACGCCATCTCAAATTCGACAGAGATGACTTGCCTTTGTTTCCATTACAGTTTAGATTCCAAACAGAGCAACAAAGTGTGTGTGTGTGTTGGTGTGGTGTGCAATATTCAACTAAATATTCAAATTGAAAAAAGTGTAAATTTATGAGTGACTGGAAGCTGATTCCAGTCATTTTTGGATTCTTTTATGAAATTTCTAAAGTATTTGGAACTATTAGATCTTTCAACATGTACATACTGTAAAATAGGTAAAAATACTATATGTCATCGCAAAACTTAAAATCTGTTACGTGACCATCATATTCCCCTACCTACCCATAAAGGAAAATCTAAGGGAATGGAATGCACCTAATGTTAATAAGGACGGATAAAACATTGTAACCAAAGGTGATCTAATAGTATATATTGTAGCAGTTTCCGATTGTTTTATAAGAAGGAACAGCACGTAGAATTGATATTTAAAAAATTAATGTAAATAAAAAAAATCCTACTCTTGCTTTTTGCACTATGTCTATAAAATAGCGTTCAAGGTTAGCATTCAGTAGTTAAATCAGAATAAAATAAAAATAGAAAAGAATACTTTTTTTAAGGTGTTCTGAGGAAGTACCTTGCAAGAAGGCTTCCAAACATTTGAGCCAACATATGTCAAGAATGCATGACGATATATCCCGTCAGCTCGTAGAACGATTTTCCTATCACTTTCTTATGTTGCAACTACCCATTTTACTTACAATCCGTCCATAACAGACGACTTGAAGAGCGAAATACATACACAATTGTTGACGTAGCTGAGAGCGGCTAAATGTTCCCAGCTGCCATTGTGTTTGCACACTTCTGAACAAATATATAATTTTCGTCAACAAATTTCACTATTTATGTATTCGAATATAAACGCAAATCAAATATACGTGATCTATATGGTAAGAAATAATTATTTCCGAATTTAATTTTCATTTCTTTTGAAAAAAACCTAAGCATTAACCTCGATTATTTAATATTACAATACTTTAAAAAATTACTGGCAATCTTGTATAGCAACGAGAAATGAGCCCAGCCGGCTTTACGAAAAAAAATCAAATCGACGCTGGTTTCTGCGGGACAACCTTCACTAACGGCAGGGTCAAGCGGTGACAACTTTGTCTTTACCTGGCGCTCTTATAAGATAGGTTGCTATGGATGGAAGGTACGTGAGTTGGGTAGTTGCAGCATTTGTATACGTGCACGTCATTTTCTCTTCGTTTCCTTGAGCATTTTTGTCAATCTTGTCCTAGAAGTGCAAGAATTTACCCGCGGTAAAGCATCCCATCCCGCGACAGTCAGATATTTATACCGGAACGACCTGGATTTTTATCCGGCCAACGACTGTCACTCTCGCAAAATATTTTTGAGGTTACATAAACAACGACAACAGCATGGACGTAGAAAACAGCAGTGCCGTAAACATATCAGCGATAGCATCGATGTCGAAGGAAAACAGCTTTGAAAAAAATTTTCTCACCTATATACAAACATACGCTTTGACAAAAACTTCCCCTACGTATATACATACATACAAACATTATTTATATCCAGTCTTTTTTTCAATATTTAACATAAATTATGTGCATGGTTTACATAGCATACTAAAGAAATAACATTACAACAATATATTCGGTACAAAAATCAGCAAAATAATATAAGAAAATCCGCATATAATCGCAGCTCCTTTGAAGTATAAAAACATCTAAGTGGAAAAAATAATGTGTCAATAATAATGTTATTAATGTCTAAATGCAGCAAGATCAGAAGCATCCATTACAGTCAAACTGCTCCCTTAGCTGATCTTTCCGTACGACATGAAGTGTCCTTAAATAAAGAAATATAAAAAAAATGAAAAATGAAGTACTTTATTAATACAAAATATATTATTATCATAGCTTGTACAGAATTTTCACTTCTGTCTACCGCGTAGAGAACGATAAAAAATGGCATTCTACTCGAAAAAAAGAACAAAGAAAATCGGATAATCCGTTCAACTTTATTCTTCTTAATTTTTTATGTACTCAGAAGAGAAAGATAAACAAAAAAATGTGTGTGCAGTCTAGTGAATCAAATGGAATCCGCGACCTAACCCCCTTTAGGTCAACAGGTAACATTAATTTAAGTACGTCAACGGAGCAATACCTCGCAGCTCTGCCGAGTATGCCAGAAAAGACTCCACCACTCCTCCATCTTGGTTAGTTGCCAATCAGCGCAACGATTGGAGCCTGCTCTGGCCTTAAGATCCACAGGGATTGGACCACATGTTATGCGACCCCATGCTGCCAACACTCAAGCAGTGACAACAGACCTCTATGATCTCACGGAGCTCCCCACAGCATGACTCCCACCAGTCTCGTCTAATCAACGGCGACATCGACCCGCGCGATACTAGCCTAGTATTTAATCCGGTCAGGTGAGGCCGAGCTCGAGATATTTAATAAATACATTCCTCCTGTTACAAGTTGTCGAGTTGGATATTGCCCTGATATAGGGGCGCTACTCAGAGGCGAAACCGTTTGGTTTTTGGCAACTTTATCGCGCATCACGATCTTTAACTTCCTAGGCTGTCAAATGACGGTAGAGGAATGGATCTGGTAGAACAGATAGACGATTTGACATTCTGCACAATGAACGAAAACACCCTCACCAGAGTTGTGGGTAATTGCCAAACCTCGCCAGATATAACTATTTTGAGTGCTTGTTGCTGGTCTGATAAATAATATACCCTGGCGACCTGTGCTGATACGGAACGGACCACTTACCCATACAAATCTCGATTGACAGGCCTCCCGGCTTTGTTTCCGCCGATCTCCGGACATTTGCCAACTTTAAAAAAGCTAACTGGTCCGGCTTCACGGAATTCCCACTCTATCAGACGTCACTACTGGAGCACGTTTACTTCCGCAGGATCGTCGTGACCGCTGCCGCCAGCTTCATCCCGCTTCAATCCGGCCAAATTTTCCGACAGAAGAGACGGTGTTAGATCTAGGCGTGTCACCCTTCGAAACTCCGATCCCGGAAATCCCGTAATAAAGAATTTAAACGCGGAGATTCGCAATGCTCTCCTCTGGGGCAACCAAGCCCTGGGCTAAAGTCAAGTCGTTGTCTAACCCGACGAGACACGATGACCGGATTGAAGTTTCATTCGGTTATCGCGCCTCGTCGGACCCGAAGAGATGCACTGCTTGGTCTCAATAGCAGTATCTGTAGCAACACCAAAATCCACTGAAAGTTTCCGAAGTACAAAACGAAACACCAACAACCTAATTGAGCGCATAGTAATCGAAAATCGAATTCTTCACAAAGGAAATCACTATGAAAGGCGGAAAAGAACTTTTAGCCACCAGTATAAACTGAAAGACCGCTAAGACAGAGAAACGGTCTGAAGAAGAAAAGACAATATGTTTTGCAAATCATCTTAGCGAAGTATTCCAACCCAATGCGGCAATTAATAATTTTACGATTCCATTTCTGCTTCACTATGCCACTAAGACTATTCCCGAAGTGAATACGACCTCATCTGAGATAAAAGTCATAGCAAAAAATGTTAAATAGGTTGTTGTCTGTTTCCAATTTTTTTGAAAATGTGCTGCTACCCAAATACCTACTTTTCTCCACGAATACTAAACTATACCAAACCATCAATTTGGTACTCGCAAAAACATGGTACTATAGAACAAGTCCATCGCATCAACAATGAGATCAGGAAGGCATTTGAGTTGAAAGAGTATTGCTCAGCAATATTTCTTGACGTGGCTCAAGCATTCCATATAGTACGAGTATGGCATGAAGGACTTCTAAACAAAATTCAATTGACCTTGTCAAAAAACTTCCATCAGATCTTCATATCATGCCTTACTAACAGAAGGTTTACAGTTAAAGTAAAGGAAATTATCTCATTAATGGTGCTCCTCAAGGCAGCTTTTTGAGATCAATATTGTATGTCTTATTTACTGCAGTCATTCCAACGTGCAAAAAAGTAGTAACATCAACATTCGCAGACGATACCGCTATTTTATGTCGGAGCATGTGCCAATAAAAGCCTCAAAAATACGAGAAAATCACTTAAAACTCGTTGAAAAGGGCTGTCGAACTGGCGCATAAATGTGGACTGGCAAAAGTGTAAGCAATGTGAATGTGACTTCACTCTGAAGACAGCAACATGCCCAATACTGAAACTAAACAACGCAATGATGAGAGATCAAGCGAATTTAAATACCTCGGCATCCACCTAGATAGGTGCCTTAACTGAAGAGTAATTTTTCTGCTAAAATATAGCACCTCAAACTTAAAACCGCGAGCCTAATTTGATAACAGTATAAAACCTCAGGATTATGCTTGGATCCTAAAATTCTATATAATTCTCTCATAAAGCCAATATGGATGTAAGGAATACAATTATGGGATTCCGCTTGCACAAATAGTATCCATGAAATACAGCGATTTTAAACAAAAACGATACCTTGCACCTTGGTATATGCGCAACGAAAAGATACATAGACACCTTGAAATATCAATGGTAGACAAAGAAGTGAGAAACACCTAGGCAAATACCTGTCGAAGCTGCGAAATCATCCGAGTCTTCTAGCAAACGTTTTATGCTGCACAGCAAGTCGATCTCGCCTTCGGAGATGTGAGTTTACCTGACGTCCATTCCATACTTAAAAAAAATAGCATACCAAAATGACACGACTCACACGAAAGGCTATTGAAAAATTACCCTTACTTGGATCAATCCTTATCTCAAGATATTGGCGGTAAATGCTTAGTAGCCATCCAGCGTAGTTTTTAAAGTGGAAATTGTAACATGTCTTTATTTCGTAAACTATGTAATCCATTGCAACTCATTTAATCAAGATATATGCTGTCACGAATTTTTTTTGTTTTTTATTGCTGTTAGCGCCGCCAATAACTTGAGATAAGGATAATAATAAAATATATATATATGAATGTACATGTGTACAAATACACTGAGCTATGTTACTGCAATAACAATTGAATACAAATTTACTATCACCATTTTCACATTAATAAAATGGTATTTCCGGGACTCATGATTGACACATGAGGGCTTCCAACAAATGGTGATGATGATGATGAGTCCAACATATCCTTTGCTGCTGGCTGATACATCAATTGTGAAAATATTCGACGACGACTTGTTTATTCCATAACTATTTCATTTGAGCTCAATATGATTTAGATATAATTTTAAAATTTGTAAAACATTTTACTTTTTAGGCCTCGGATTCAATGTTATGGGAGGCAAAGAACAGAACTCACCAATTTACATATCGCGAATAATACCTGGCGGTGTGGCTGATAGACATGGTGGATTAAAACGTGGGGATCAACTTTTGTCTGTAAATGGCGTTGTAAGTATTTATCTTACTTTTAATATTAGATCCAGTTGTTATATTTGTATTAATGTATGTTGTTAACGTACGCAAAAGCTTGGTAAAAATTTTATAATTAGGGAAAATTGAGAATTATAATGAATTTTTACGGTATAAATTTATACTTGCAACTATTTGCAAAACTTATAAGGCTATTTAAACTGACGTTAAGCAACATCAAAAGCTTATTCAGAATCAAGAAGGGCCACTCCGAGTGGTTCGATACCAAACCAGGTTTGAGAACATGGCTGGAAGAAATATACCAGCTGCAGAGCTGAACAGAGAAGGTAAAATCTTCTATAAGGGTAGGGTGGAAAGCTACTTGTGTATGCCGATGATATTGATGCCATAGGCTTCAACAACCGCGCCGTGAGTTTTGTCCTCTCAAGTTTTGATTAGAAAGCGAAGCATATCGGTCTGATAGTAAACGAGGGCACAAAGAGATATCTCCTGTCATCAAACAAACAGTCGTCGGCTCGGCTTCTTCTATCTTAAAATCAGTATTAACACCAACAACAATTTCAACCTTGACACCCAGCGAAGAATAACGGTGTTACTTTGAACTAAGTAGGCAATTGAAAGGTAAAGTACTTTCTCGGCGAACAAAGACCAAAGTCGAGAAGTCGCTCATTGTTCCCGTCCTGTTGTATGGTTCGGAGGCATGGACGATGACAAAATCCAATCAGTCGGCGTTCGGGGTATTCGACAGAGAGGTTTTGCAAAAGACTTACGGTCCTCTACAATTTGGGAACGGCGAATACCGTAGCCAATGAAACGATGAGCTATACGGCGACATTGACATGTTTCAGCAAATCAAGAAACGGCTCCACTCCGTTTGAAGGACGAGGTAGAAAAGGATCTGGTTGTACTTGGTTCTTCCCATTGGCTCCAACCTGCGTTTCAAAAATGTGTTGCGCAAAATTACCTATTCCCAAACATCTTGCCTATGAGGCTTTAAATGATCTTTAAAAACTTGTTCCAAAAAAATTTGCATTGTTGAATGCGTTAAATATTAATGAAAAGTAAGTTTGCCGATTTGGCTACACTTCGTAATAACAAACGTTTTAAGGAAAAAAGAAAATAATTATGATTCTCCGTTTTTGCTTCGGATCTGCATTTTGAACCAACTTATGTTAAATAAAATAAATTTTATTTGCCTTACAGACTTTAATTGCTCAGTAGGAATCATATAAACAATAATAACTACAAAGAAATTAATTAAGAGTGATATTAATTTATTAACATTTAATAAAAATACTAAGCAGTTAAGTAATATTTATTATAGTAGGTAGTTAGCACGCAATACTAACCACTCGGCTACCCCGGCCGCCAAAAACAATGGCAAAATAACTCTTGCCAAGGTGCTTATTTGAAGTGAATAGGCAATTGCAAAGTAAAGCCCTCTCAACACAAAAAACAAATTCTATAAGTCGACAATGACAACATCCAATGGGGTTCATTTGGGAATCTTCGAGTGTAAGATTAGTGAAAGACTTATGACGACGACGGCGAATACAGATGATTCAATGAAGAGATGTGTAAGCTATCTTCGTTTGTAAACTCTGATGGTATACGGAAGAATTGCAGAATTTTGAGCTAATACGGTGTTATCCATTTTGCAGTTTCAAAAATAAACTCATTTTATTTACGTTAATTTATTTGTTTAAAAAATTTAAAATAATTTTTTACAATAATTTCGATCTAACAATAATTTTTTTTTATAAATTTGAGCCTTGGTATTACATGTGAAAACTACATCAATAGTCGCCTTTGAAGTTTTCAAGGAAGTACTTAAATAATGTTCCATATTTAAGTATTCCCCAAAGGAGATATGGATGGTCCTCCTCACTGAATAATATTTTGTTCGAAAAATCGACGTTCTGTTTAATATTCAAATACGATAGTTCCAGCTCTTGAGAGTGTCGAGAATTAAGCGAAATGATGATACACAGGTCTTACAATATCTGTACAAGGTCCAGTCTCTTTCTTTAAAATTGTTTCAACTACTTGAGTAGTTGGAGGGTTATGGTGCACAATATCTTAAAGCACAAAACAGATGTCAAAATACAGTCCTGTACTTTTGAAACCACGAAATCGGTAACCCTACGAATTCCAATTCTAATATTTGGAAGTAATACGCAAGTTGGTATATTTTGGGGAAGTAGATTGTATTCGAAACTAAAAGGTATGCTCGAATGCATGCAATAATTCTACTTTTTTTCGTTGGCACGGCTTACGTGATTATATATATATTAGCGCGTCCTTCATCCCTTCTTTTCGCTATTTGGTACCAGTTGGAAATACCAAGTGAAACCAGGTCACTCTCCAAGTGATCCTTCCAGGGGAGTGGAGGGTTCCCCTAGCTGCTGTCTATTCTTTCGCTGAACTACAGTGATGAACTAAAGTATTAGTATAGAAAGATAGTTCAGTTTTAACACCTTTTTTGACCACTTAGGAAAATATTTTTAATTCCGAAAAAAATGCTAGACAGAGGGACACATTTTCAACTATTTTCTTTCACTTCAATTCATTTGAATATCTTTTATGTTAAATTAATACTAATTATAAATGAATAAAGTAATAAATTGCACCAAACAAAAATATTGCCACACTTAAATTTCACTGGGCTATTTCGCTTAAATTTGATTGATCTAGCAACTTTTTTTTTGTTTTTTTCAAAAATCAAACCGCAAACTTTCAGAAGATGAGTGAAAGAAAATAATTTTATATTTGCATAAACAGGGCAAATCATATGCAGAAATTGGTGAAATGATGGGCAGAAGCCGCTACACCATAAGAAGCATTGTGAAACGAATTGAGGATGTTTCATCATTACAAAACGCAATACGTACAAGAAGGCCTGAAGTTTTAAATGACCGCGAACGCTGCCAAATAGTAAGAAACTTAAAAGGATCCCAAGATTATCTTCCACACAAATCACAGCGAAAGTTAAGGAATAGTTATAAAAGAATATTCATCCGATAACGGTCCGGAGAGCATTTCAAAAGTGAACCAAAGGAAACGTTTAGCCTATGCTAAAGAGTACCTAAGCAAACCAATTGACTTGTGGGACAATGTAATCTTTTCGGATGAAAGTAAATTCAATATCTTTCAATCTGTTGGCCGTCAATACGTGCGGAGAAAAAATAAGAATTTCAAAAAAAAACCTTTCTGCGACCATAAAACATGGTGGTGGAGGAGTCATTGTATGGGGCTGCAGGTGTGGACGAGCTGGATTTCATTGACGCCATTATGGACAAAAAATGGAAATTCTTGAGAGGAATGTTAAAAAGTGACGAAAAACTTAGATTGCCGGAGTCATTTGCATTTCAGCACGACAATGATCCGAAGCACACCCCTTTAAACAGACTGCCGCACCCGCCCAAATCGCCTGATCTAAACCCAATTGAGCATTTGTGGGGAGAGCTGGATAGGCGCGTTAAACAGCGGCCTGTATCAACAAAAGAAGAGTTAAAGCTGACACTGGTTTAGGACACAATACTGGGTCAGCAACCACACAAAAATTGGTCACATGGATGCAAAAGCGTTTGGAAGCTGTCATCAAACATAACTGCTTGGCTACAAAATTTAGCCTTTTTAGCCATTTTATTATAATTTTTTGTGTTCTTAAGAAGTGTGCCCATACTTTTGTTTGGTGAAAATTAGTACTTAAAACAAAAAATATAACAAAATAAGTTGAAGTTAAAATATTTTCATAAGTGGTCCAAAAAATATGTTCAAGTTAAACCATATTGCTGTGCCAATCATCGTATAGCTCGTAGAGCTCATTGTTCCACCGTCTGCGGTATTCGAGGCGAGCTAAAGTGAGAAGGCAAAGTGGGCTGTCATGGAAAGGGCGTATAAGGATTACGATTGGAGGGATGGACCTAGAATGTTCGGTCCCTTAATTTGAAGGAGGCGTTGCCCAGCTGTTAGATTCAATGAAAGAGAAAAGGACGGAAAAAGGTTGGTCCTTACGAAATTTACTACAGGGGTCATTTAAAGGAGCACAAATTTGGAGGCCGAAATGGGTGAGTATAAGGAGATCACCGTCAAAAAGCTGATTGCACCTTATCAGTGTGGACTTAGACCTGGTACGTCAACCATTGGCAAGATATTCACCATGGAAGACAAAACTGGCATCAAAAAAACAGTTATTCGCGAGTTGGCTCCTACGTCACATGGAGTAATTTGCACAGGTGAACTAAGTATACATGTGACCCTCTTTGGGAATCGCTAACTTAATTATACCATATATTTTGTATGGGCTGTAGTTAGATTTAGGATACTCTATTCTCCTTATGGTGTTTTGAAATTATACATATAAAGGCAAACAACTGCAAATCCTGATTCCTCGTACAGAGTAATGTCACTGTCTTTTTTTGCTTTTCTGAAGTATATTATTACCACTCGGCGGACGCCATAGCCAAGGGGTTACTTTTGCGTAATACCATTGTAAAGGGCATTGTTTGACTGGCGGTCGTTCCTCGGTAGGTAATACGAAGTCCTCCGAGTGTATTTCTGATATGAAATAAAAATCCATCGATCGTTCTAAGGCGGCTTAGAACAAGCAGTAGACCACTCTTTTTGTCAAAAACATTAAGACGCGTACCGCAAATTGAAAGACGAGCTCAGCCGAAAAATCGCTTCAGCGGTGCAAAGCAAATTAACAACAAAAACAAACTTCTATAATAAATTTTACTTCGCAGCGAAAATGATGCGCTGTAAAAAAAATTAATAAATTTCATTATTTAAAAAAACAAAACCAAAACGGTATTTTAATTATATTTAGTAGAATACCCCTTGCGGTCTATGACTGCTTTCATACGTTTCCATTATGCTTTACAGTGCTACGTAAACTTTGCGGTTGAAACGCAGCAGTTGGTTTTCTCCATACATACATAGCTTTTTCCATCTGATCTAAACAGGTTGAAATAATTTTCATCCGCAAAAATTACGGTGTTAGGGAAACTTTCACCTTTAGAGAAATGCTTCTTTGCAAACTTCTGCCTTGCACTTTGATTTTTAACTTTGACTTGTGGCTTATTTCGAGCTGCGCGGCCATTGAAATCAGTTTCTCTGATAATTCTTCGTATAGTTTCCAGGTTACAGCTTTTTTCAAGATATTTTAGAAGTACGTCACATTAAGCTAGAGCGTATTTTCTGTACAATCCATCGGGAATCACTTTCGTTAAATATTTTATGAGCCAATTTAGTTTTATTTAACACATGACTTTCACGAACATAGCGTTCAATGAAATGCTGAATGTTTTGTTATGTTTTAGGATTAACTCGCGCACCTCAATACTTGTTTGACGACCCATTTTGTTCTACAACCAACCAATGTCAATACTATAATTTCAAAATTATCTTATATTACAGCACGTTTGCTCACGATTATAGCGGTAACGGTAAATCTTTGTGCATTATTTTCGCTGTGAGGTACAATTTAATAATGAATTTTGTTTTTGTTGTAAATTAAATTAAATAAACATAAAATATAAAAATTTTAAAGCATTCATGAAATGTGTATATCTGCCGCTATTAACTGGCTTTCATGTTTATTGGAAAATTTATTTAATTTTTATTTAAAACTTATATTATTTCTTAGATAGCTGCATCACTTTGGCTGTGAGCTACTGTACATGTATATTTCCTTTAAATGAAATGATTAAAATCGCTTAGAATTAGTTTTTTTTTGTTATAAATCCGTTGAAATTATTAACTTTCTTCTAATTTTTTCCTAATAAGACATATTTATTTAGTTTAAATAAATGATATAGAAACGTGTAGATTGAATTTCACAATGTAAACAATTTCTTTAGCTACAGGATTTTCTGACTCGAGCTAGGTTTAACTTACTTAGATCCGGTTCTAAATCGATTATGAATATATTCCATAGTTTCTGTAAATAAATTTGTTTTAGTAGTTGAAATCTCTTGAATAACGTTGATGGGTATCTATTGTAGTTAAGCTTGGCTACCAGTTAATTAATACTTTCTTGAAAAATTATATCCTTAAGTCCTTTTTCAAATTGAGGTCACAATACAGAAGTTTTTAAAATCGAAATGCCATTTAAGTACAAATGAAAGACTAACGTTTTTAAAATATTAAATAATAAAACCATGAAACGCAGGGAGGCACAATAGATGACCACATATTTGGAAAATATCAAGTCGCACACCATAAATTACATGAAAAACTATGCCGAAATAGTTTTATATTAGGTTCTTTTTATGTGGCCGCGGTAACCGAGTTATGGGTCCGAACTCTGGTCAGGCAAGCGTATATAAGACGCCAATTATATTAAATTTTATATGACTTATCCCTTTAAATCATGAGCAAATAATTAAATTTAATGTTGAACTAATGACGATATAACAAGAAAAAACTTGCTTCGCATACTTTTTTAATATTAAATTTACACATTTACATGTCGTTTTAGTCTGTGGAAGGTGAAAACCACGAAAAAGCTGTGGAACTACTTAAGCAAGCAGTTGGATCTGTGAAGTTGGTAGTTCGTTACACCCCAAAGGTTTTAGAGGAAATGGAACTGAGATTTGATAAGCAACGCACCACGCGCCGCCGTCAGTGAATTAATATAATACTTTGGTAATGAGTTAATTCAGATAAAATTAACTGTTGTAGTTTCTATTTAAGTTTATAATTTATTGTAAATTTAATAATTGCCACTCATATAAAGAAATACGTATGCAAAATAAAAAAAAAACAGTCACGGCAAAAATAGACCTATTACTAAAAACAAAGAATCTCGGTATGTTAACAACTTATTAAAATTTTGCGAGTTTTAGCTAACGGAATTGTGCTACCTACTTACATATAAATATGCGTGCGAATATGCATATTTCAATTGTACATTAAAGGATGATGTGATAAGATTAGCGCACAACCGTGAGCTTTAATAATTTGAACACCGGTACGAACCCGCAACCCATTTTGAAATAAAAAGAAAAGAAATATGTAAATTAGGGATATTAGTGAAAGTATTAATGTTCATTGAACTTAAACCATAACATTACCTTCTAGAAGGATTTGTGTAGTATAATAATAAACATAAGCAAAGTTGGAAACTGCCTTTAAATATGAAATAATGCGCGGAAATGCAACTTAACATCAAAACTGTCGAAAATTAACTCATAAGGAATTTTGTTCCGTTTATGCTCATATATATTTACGAATGTGCATAAAGGCATATTTAAGCTTATGGCGTAAACATTGCCGCCAGCCTTGCAATATTACAATATTGCAACAAAAATTTTAATGCCACAATTTTATTGAACCTGAGCCTTCCGAATGGCAGTTCTTTTGGTTTGTGCGTTTTTGAATAATTACTACTAAATTTATAATTACAATAAACCGTGGTGCCTAGAGGGACACACGTGTCTGTAAGATCCGAACGAATGCCTATTATGAACCTCCTTGAAAAATTCTTTCTTCCATCGACCGCGAAAAATCATTTTCGTTCATCTGTTGAGGATTGTTTAGTTTTTTAAGGAGAAACATTTTGTTTGAACTTGGAGTTAAGTTAACAATAGTAGAGTTGTAGTTTTGCTTTGAATCCTTCTACAAACCGCGATGCTAGTATTTGAAAAATGTCCTTTTGGAACCAAGACATTCCGAACTAGGTTACCTATGGAACTATCCCCTCCCATTGAGACCCTGTTAGCAAGGCAAGAAACGTGTGCAGTGGAGGTTGCCCCTATGGCACTCCACCCTTACATGGTTTCCTTGGATATCGGGTTGTAATAAAGCCTATGCTTCACCCTTACCAGCATAACTCACCATGAAGACATCTATTAAACCGTTTTGTTGAAGGTTCAGATCAACATTGGATCCACTAATTGGAAGAGGTGGCAAATACATCGAAATTTGAGGTAACGGATTTAAAGTAAATTCTATTAATTTGCCGGGATTGCCTGGCAATGCTTGACCGAAAGAATATTTTAATGAATCTATATTGAATATATCTTTGCTAAGCGCAGTTTTTGAACTAAAGCGCTACCAATAAGTGCGGAACTAATGTTTTCTGGAAGCCCAGTGTTATCAGAAGTGTCGAGAAGCTTTGTGACTGGAAGCATCGGTATCTGTGAAGTAGAGTATGGAGACTGCTATTGCACGTTGTGCACGAGAGATTGCTTTTGCAATTTTTTTGATCCGAGTAAATATTAAAAGAATTCAAGGACACGATATGTTTGCACGGTAGCGAGTGTATATCCAGAATGATTTCAAAAGCATCTAAAGCGAATGTACATACATATGTGCACTGAAACAAATATATAAAAATTTTAAAAGTCGAACGAAAATAGAGCTTTGAAGAAATAAATTGGGAAAAGTCTCATTTTCCCCATTGCTACAATGCCAAAATTTCCTACTGGGTTGGTTGTTTTTCAACACCTATGCAGAGAACTTAGTATATTATTATTTACGTTCTCTGGATGAAAGACAGCTTGATACCGAAGGAAAACAGCTTTGACAAAAATGTTCCTTACATACATACATATATAAATAAAGAAATGTAAAAAAAAAACAATGAAAAATAAAGTACTTATTTAATCCAAAATATATTATTATCATAGCTTGTACAGGATCCTCATCATGTATTTTTCACTTCTATCTACTGCGGAGAAAACGATTAAAAATGGCATTCTGCTCGAAAATAAGAACAAAGAAAATCGGATAATCCGTTCAATTGCATTCTCTTTCATTTTTTATGTACTCAGAAGAGAAAGGTAAACAGAACAGCTTGCTTATGTGTTGGTGCTTCCCAAAATCGCGTGAGCGTATTGGTGAACGCAGAGTAGGGATGTAAATATGTAAGACTACAGTTGCCAATACAATCTAGAAATGCAAACACAGATTAGAGAACTTTGTACCCATCCTTCAGATTTGCATATAACACCTTTTCAGCATTTTCAGGAGAAATTCCTATAGACGTCCTTCTTAAAAACTCGTCAACGAGATGAGAGAATTTAATTTTTTTTTTTAGTTTTATAAAAACATAACTGAGATAACGTTTACTTGCCAAAACCATTTTCGATTCGAATTCTTTTACAAGAAACGCGTTTGTTAAAAAACTCGTGAAACATCTGGTGCTTGAGCATACGGCTTTATCAAGTATGTTCATAAAGGAAAAACTGTGTCCCCTATAAAGTAGGATGGAAACTTCTGCGCAGATCCTGGCAAACAAATCGGACGTAGAAGGTTTATTTCATTGCTTTCTAGCATCCGTCCAAATTTCGAATTTCTAAAAACACCGCCATCGCTCTGACTTCCATAAGCCCCCACGACAACGAACGTAAATGAATAATTATTGTCGCACGCGTCCATCAAAATGTGTTTGCCGTCGATCGCACCTACACAGTTTGGCAATATACACTTCCTCTAGTTCTCTTCAGCAGTGTCCTTCCACTGTGAATTCGTGGGTGGACTAATGCAAAGCGTCGATAACACTTTCCACAATACGTCGCAAGTCTTTGAAATAATCTACCCTCCTTATTTTTGGATAGCGTGCGTTGCCACTCATTGGCGTTAGAAAACGTTATGCTGCTGTGGAGGCTCCAAGGCCTTGTATATATATAATTACAAACATTTATGTATATACATATTACATTAAATACATATATAGGCAACGCATAGAAATAGTTACATATATATATACCTACATGTCTAAATATACACATATATATACATATGTATACGTACGAATAAGTACTAACATTTAAGCTGTTAAGTAATATGAAATATCGAAAATATCGGAGGGACCCATAATCCGGCTGAGAGATAGCCCAGCTATAGACCGGAGAACCGGGAACGTTACAACTGGCGCCCAACGTCGGGCTTTTATAAAATTGAGGAAAGTAAGGGTCAAGTAACAAGGACCAAAAGTGAAATTAAATTGAAGTGAAGTAAAGACACGAGTACACACAATACATATATATAAAATAAAATTGTGCGAGGCACAATAACATTTGCCTGAGATAAAAAATTAAAATGGTTAAAGTAAATTGGGTTTATTACCTCAACAAAGAGGAGTTAATAAAATATTCGACCGAGTTCGGCCTATCGAATATAGACACCGTCCACGAGTTACGAAAACGCCTCGAGACATTCCTACAAGAAGAGGGCGAAAGCGAAAGTCTGTCTGATCGAATCACAGACTTATTATTGAGACACGCGAAATTATCCGTGATAACAAACACGCCTACACCGAAGCAAAAAGAGTGGCTGCAGTTGCCGCAGGTACAGAAACCTAGCAACGACGGCAGGACGGGAATGTCTCCCCATATGATCGAGGCGTATACCCACGTTTACCCACAATTGTCCAACCAATCAGTGATGGACCGCGTTCGCAAGTGGGGTGTGAGATACGACGGCGGCAAGGACCCAATGGGTTTCAGCGAACGCGTCGAAGAATTGGCGCTTGGCTACGAAGTCGAATTAAGCACGCTTCTGAGAGCTTTACCGGAGCTACTCAAGGACAGAACCTTAGTCTGGCTCCGTAATCACCACGGCCAATGGTAAAACTGGTTGACATTCAAGCGAGATTTTTTGAAATTCTTCCTGAATTCTCGTTATTTCGATCGACTAGATGACGAAATCAGGCAAAAACTCCGGCGCATACATCGAAATTGTAGGATTGACTATCAACTATACATAAAAGAGAGTGAGTTCGGGACCCTATCCGAGCTAGTAAGTCTGGCCGTAGGTTTCGAAAACATCAAACGAGAAAGAGAGCCGTCTAAGGCTGCAGTTAGAATAAGGCCACCCAGAAAAAATGAGCATGACACTTCTCATATGAGTGTCAGAACGCCATCAAACTGTTTTGCTGGACATGCAGACGAAGAGTCGCTCGGATAAAATAAGGCAACCAAATGCAGGTGGCTAAAGACCAAAATAAGAGAAGTTAAGATGGCTCCGGAAAAGTTCCCGTACTACACGCTACAAAGCGGAGAATTGAATCACCACATATCAGACGAAGAACACGTCACCCCATGGAAGCTCTGAGTAGCAACTTCGTTACGCCAAAGCGTAAACAACGAAGTTCATTAGAAACACGGAAGAAGAAGACAAAGCCTAAGAAACAAAGAAGAAGAAGAACTATGATTCGAAGAAGTTTAAGTACAGAACAAGATTCGAAAAATAAGAAGCCGAAGGATCGAAGAAGAAGAAGCCGAAGAAACAAAAGAATAATAAGAACCGAAGAAATAAACTGATGTAGAAGAGCAGAGAACAGAAAGATGAAAACAACACGTCCTTATGGAAAGTAAAGGGGGGTGTGAAGACCCCAAGTCCAAGGCCTTGGAGCCTCCACAGCAATATCAGCAACAACAAAAGAAAAGTCATATATATAAAACTACGCAACGCATATTAATAATTACATATATATATATATTAAATGTAATTATATACCCACATATCTAAATATACATATACACGTATATATACATATATACGTACAAATAAGTACTAAACATTTAAGCTAGGCACTGGCATTGCGAGCTGTCGCTGTTAAGTAGGGCAAAGAAGAACAGGCGATAGGCTTACCAACAAAATGCAGTGCATAACTGTCCGCCTGTAAGCAACTTTAGTACAAAAGAGCAGCATCAGCAGTGATACAACACTTCTGTTTGTGCTGTCGTAGATAGAGAATATGGTGTGTCGTGCAAACGCTACCAATAGGAGTAGATAGAAGTATACGGCTGACGTGAAAACGCTTAATTGTAT